CAGACCGTGACACTTTGCAAACAAAGTACTCTCTATTTACTTTATATTTATAATTTATTTATGCCTTAAACCTGCTTGTTATATGGTAAACTTGCTCATTTTATTAGGTACACCTGTTCACACTTGTTTTATGCCACTGTGTAAAACTAGCTTACATTCGAGTCAAACTGTTGCCTGTGTAGTTTTGATTTGGAAAGGTTATAGGTCATATTTTGCCACATTGCTTACTTGAACACACAGATTTTTGCATTTTTCATCTTGTGTATTTTAGAGGTCCCTGGACATTTTTTCAGCTTTACTTGTAGTTTCACTCTGTTCCCACTTTGTCAGCGCTGCAGTATAGGTGGCTAATAGATTCAGTCTTGGCTCTGATTAAATAAATGAAGTGCCAGAGATCACAGGCAAATTGAGGAAATGAAGAGTAAGTGTAGAATGATTGCAATCAAAGGCTGAGTGGCTTTTGAAAGAGGCTGACTGACAAATTGACTGCCCCAACAGAGAACTGTTTCATATGCTAAACAGCGATCCCCAAAGCAGTGGAATTAATATTTATATTTTGAGTCCATGTGACGGCCCAAATTGTTACAGCCTTTTGTCAAAATGTTGATAAGTACGAGCTTTATAACGAGCCTCAAAATAATCGATGATTCTGACAAAGGACAACATGATGTTGATATAAGAAGGCAGTCAGTGAAACAAGAACATTTGCTTCTCTCCTTTTCGCTCAGCATCATGACAGTTGGAAATAGAGCTGTAGATTAATGGCAACGGTCCAGTATGGTATTGACATTTAACAGCATGTAGTTAGACAGGTGGGAGAGAAACGAGAATATCTTTACAGCCTTTGTCAACTTAATTAAATATCCCATGGCTAATTTTCCTCTGTGACGGCAGAAGGAGCGCTGTCTCCTTTTGCGTCCCTGGCGGCTGTCGCTTATTCACACAAATCATCTGGCCAGTGAGCCGTGATGTTAATGCTAGATTTCTAAGCAACCTAAAAGGAACTGCAGGGTGCATGAAACGACTTTTTGCTTTCATCATCTGTAAATCATCTTTGTAAAAAGAAAGAAAAAAAAAACTTTAGCACAAATGAACTTATCAACTTAAAACTCAAATATAACAAACACAGGACATCTCAGGACGTCTCAGGATACAATTATGAAGCCAAAGTGTAACATTTGAGTGGATACTATTTAAAGCATCTATAAAGTCAACGAGTACTGTTATTTGCATTCAGTGTGAACAGTGAATCAGATGTGATTGACCAATACCTATAACCAATGAGAGCAGTAGTTAATCAGACCTCACACAGAGGTTACAGATCGAAAAACACTCGTGAATTATTATACTCAGGTTTCACATATCAGGATATAATAAACAATGCTGATCTGATCCTCAGCAGGATTTAAAATTAGACAGATATAACTCAGAGTGATCATCAACACGGGATATTTGCATTTATTTAACAAAAACGAACGAAATGTCGACGCAATGTCTGAAATGTTTCTACAAGAATTAAGAGGGTAGGTAGCAGCCAGGTGCTGAAAATCAAATGCTCTTGATGAATTGATCATCAGCAAGTGTGAGCACCTCCGTGAAAGCAGAGGTTTTGTCAGTTTACTGGTCTGGGTGATTCAGGTGTGTGTTGACACAATGCCAAGAAGGAAATACATCAACAATGATCTCTGAGAAGAGATTGCTCTTGTCAGTAAATCCGGGAAAGGCCATTTCCAAACAATTTGAAGAAACTCTGCAGTGGGAAAGATTATTCACAAGTGGGCAATATTCAGGACAGCTGTCGGTCTTCCAAGGAGATCAGAGCTGTGAAACTGCAAGAGCTACGTTTCAGAATCTACAGGCCTCAGTTTGAATGTTAGGTGGTAAATTTTATGACAGTACAATTAGATAAAGACTGTTTAAGTAT